CACATTGCTGAATACAAATCTTACTTGGAAAAAGATAGTGACTTGTGAAAAAATCATTGGGCCTCAACAAAATTTGTGTGTGTGAATGATATTATGCAATTTGGTGAAAAAACAAAGGACCCAAAATCTTGAGAACTGCAGGAGAAGAATTTATGGATTCTTGGATGAAAAATATTAATGAGATAAATCAAACGTGCATATCCATCTCTTATCACACCTTATATTTTATAAGTATCAAAAAGGTAATTATCGATACTTGTCTTATCATCTTACCACTCGAATTATGGTCATCTTCATTAATCATCTTCACCATGTCATGATTATCTCATTGTGCTGTATTATGGGTTCACCTTTACCACCAAGAGGTCCCGTAACGAGACCCTCGTTGTCGTCCTCATCAACTTCGTATTGTTATGAGACCAAAGTCACTTCTGCATAGCCACAACCTTTATTTGTGAAGCCTCCCTCCACAAGGCCGTAGCCTTGCCCTTGTGAAGCCTCCATCCCCAGCATCTACTTCCCATATTCTTGTTCTTATCATTCATTTGTTCTCTAACGACAAAGGATAGAGAGGAGGGGATGGTGTGGTCATTGATAGTGCAAAAGGTGACGAGGTATAGTTGTTCATGATGCCTACAATCTCACCCTCAACTTTTCATTGCACTCTTCGAATGCACCATGCCTTATCCTCTCTCATGCCTACAATCTCACCCTTTGTCGTAGCTTTTTCCCTTCACCCATTTTCAACAAATATCTACTCTCTCTTTTGTGATCTCCTCCCTATGCACCAACCTACCCTTGCCCATTTCCACCCATAGTGCCATGCTCACATCCTTCATCATCATCACCACATCCATCTTCTACTAAAGAGCCCAACGAGGAACCATTTGACATAAGATTTTGGTCCTCTCTATAAAGCCCTCAAGCAAGAAGCACTAGGGACCAACATCACTATTGACATCGAAGAATAATGCACTAGGGCCTTTTCGCAACCCATAAGAACTACTATCGACTCGCCTCCAAGCCATTGGCCAGCTCATACACTTGTGCTTCGATGAGCACTCCACAAGAGGTGGCAAAGGGGCCTCATGGAAAGGCCTCACGAATGGAGGTAGCGACCATATGGAGGGTTAGAGGTAATAACGTGAAGATGGTAGGACGAAGGTGACAACAGTAATGACAAGGGCCTCACAATAGTAGAGATGGCCCACAGCATGACGAGATGGTAGGGAGAGGCAAAAATAGCCACGATAGGATGACAATCGTAAAAGACGAACAACATGAGTAATCTCATCTTTTAAAAAATAAAGAATATTTTATGAAATAAAATAAAGTAGAGTACTGAAAAAAGTAAATGTTTAAATGTTTATTCACCAAACTTCTTCAAACAATGTTTTGTCAATGTACTGGACTTCTTACTTCCGAAAAATCATTCTTTCAATCATTATTTTTTTTTATAGCTTTTGATGACAATTTTTTTTCCTTTTTCTCTCCCTTTTTTTTTCCATGTGGTTCTATTTAATTAGGTAAGATATATTATAGATATGATTTGATTGGTTATTGATTAATAGAAAAGAAGTTCAGAACCGTTCGCTCGTGGGCAGAGGTAGCCCCACGGCGATTGTGGCTATGCGCGGGCAAGTACCGCTGCAGACCGCATGCCTGGCAACAGCCACAGCCAACCGTGCGCGCCATCCATAGGCAAGAAAGGCCGTAGGCTGGAACTACCGCAGCGACCGTAGGAGCTGCACGCGGACAGAGGCAGCGCCGCACGCGTAGGCTAGGGTTTTGACATATTTATAGTTTTACCCTCGGGTCTAATTTATGCCAAATTATAGTTCTACCTTTTATAAATCGCATATTTTCGATTTATATCCTATCGAATATTTACAGTTTTATCATTATGAAATTAAAAATTTTAGTTTATATTCTCAATTATAAAATTGATAAATATGATTTATTATAATTATGATTAAATTTAATCATGATTATATTTTTGATTATTTGATTAGATTTAATTTTGATTAAAAAAATTATAAATTATGATTTACTTTATAATTTTCTCATATGAATTATTGATTATAAATATGGTAAATAAAATCCAATTATTGTTCTTGGATATTCATTTAGTTATTCACATGTATATATTTGAAATTATGAAATAATATTTTCCTTTCACATGAAGGCATGATTTATATATTATCATGATTATCATACGAGTTTTCTTTTGCTGATTAATATTCAATAATTATTATGGTTATTATTCTATTATTGAATTGCTTAACATTCACGTTTAATAATTATTATGGTTATTATTCTATTATTGAGTTGCTTAGCATTAATTTTTAATAATTATTATGGTTATTATTTTATTATTAAACTATTTAACATTAATGTTCAATAATTATTATGGTTATTATTCTATTATTGAACTACTTAGTTTAAATTAAATAAATTTGATGAATATTATTTGTAATTTATTTCCTTCAGTTTTATCTGACTTGTAGCTGTCAAAGTAGCTTGAGATGATAAATTTATGAGATGTGCATTACAATAAATGTCTTATCATTTATAGGATATTTTAGATTATATTTTATATTTTTGTATTGGTCTTACAATCACCAAAGTGACCTAGACCGATAATTTAGAAAATACATTATGAAATTAATCCTAAATGATATTAAATAAAATAATATTCACAATGACATGAATTAGGATAAAGAAATTTAGTGAATATTATTTGTAATCTATCTTCGTAAGTTTTATCTGATTGGTAGCTACCAAAAGAGCATGGGATGATAGATTTATGAGATATGAATTACAATAAAGTTCATGTCATTCATGGGATATTTTAGATTGTATTTTATCTTTTTGTATTGGTCCAAAGTGACCTGGACCAATAATATATAAAATACATTATGGAATTCATCCTAAATGATATTAAATAAAATAATATTCATGATGACATATATAATTATGAGATTTAGATAATCCCAAAGGAGAATCTATTTCAAATAATTATGTGATAGGGTAGGATGATATTATTTTGGATATTCTTACAGTTTAGGGTTTTATACCCAAAGGTAACAATACTATTCCATAAGAATGATATCAGTCCTCCATAAGTAATCTTGAGTGATCACTAGATATGTCAATATTTCACCTAAAGATGAAATATAGATGATATCAATAATTCATCATATTTTAGAAACTCAAAGTATTAATGTTATATTATTACTGTGCCACTTCCTTTATTATGTTTTTATAAATATTCCTATACTTTTTAAAATAAATGGCTTGAACATATGTAAGTTGTATTGAGTGAGTGAGACCTTGATTAGATTAATTGAATAGGACACAAATTACTGAAAGTTCTGTGAAATA